TTGGCTGCTACACGTGTTCCATGATTGTCCGTGGACTTGTGGAGAGGTTGACGTCCTGCTCCCTGCGCGCGCGCGAGTCTGTGCGTGTTGACTGTGTTGTCGCTTCCTATATATAGGAAAGTTTGATGTGTGTATAAAATATGAATCGTTCCGTGCGTACTAAACAGGAACTGACTTGTAGTCGGTCAAGGTTGCGGGTGGAACGGCGTTTGTCACGTGACTTGTGTGCTTGTGTAGCAGGTAAGTCGTGGGACAAATTAAGTGAAGTTGGTTGAGGGGACATGGAAATGTCCGCTACAGGCCCATGCTATATGCATCTGGACTTTCCAACTCAGCAGCAGTTCCTAACTGACCGGACCCAAGACGAGCTAACGAAAATCTTAGAGTTTCCCAAATTCAACACATTCGAAGGTCGGAGTCTTAACTTGGGTAATCATGGGTTGGGTATAGTATGCTGCTATTAACAACGCAGATTGCAACCAAATGTGAACGGTGAATTTGTCCAGTTAAAAGTGAGCAATTTCCATGCACCGGATGCGAAAATGAAGCTAAAAATACACACATTGCTACTTGCTGACCAAACTTCTGCGGGTGAACTTGCACATTGACAACCAAACAAACTCAGTGGCACAAAGAACAACGAGGAAAAGTTTTGATACTAATGTAGCACACTAAAATCACAGAAACGCACCTTGATAGGGCCAAAGCGAGTCTCAAGTACCTACGTAATCCTTGCGGACCGTAGATATTCACCACAGCCTCGCTTGGTGATCCACTGGATGATGGTAAGGCAATGTCACCAGCAGTCCCTTTTTGGTCTATTGTACATAACAAGCCAGGTAAACCATACATGTGATCCCCATGAAGATGTGAGATGAATATATTGGAAATTCGTCCCAGTCGGACGTTGGAGGAACGTTGCGCCTGAATCTGTGTTCCCTCACCACAGTCGAACAACCAGTGATCACCATTTTGTAAGTTGCGAAGGACTAGTCCAGAAGCTCCACGATCGGGTGAAGGGTAGCCTGAGGCAGTACCGAGAAATACGAAGTCCTGCAGAAGACCGGAAGGAAGAATGAGAGGCCGAAAGGAATGTGCATCAACGACTAGGACAACCAGTAACACTTGTAGACGCAAAGTGATAAAAACGGTACACCTATCAGGAAAACAGCGTGACATGGAACAAAATAGCCACTCAGTGGAAGCGGGCGACAAATGACTTGGAAAACATGGTTTGCCTAAGAGCACCGACAGAGTAGAAATAGAAAGCGTGCTTTAAGCGTAATCCCGTGTTCTTCCAACAGCGCTTCTCTTGGCGCCCGTCGGCTGACATTCAATCCAATGGACTATGGTGAATAATAACCGTGGTAACGAGCATCAACATCGAATAGCAGCCAAGAAAACTTCGAGTACAAAAAATCCCTACGTGAAAAACATACATAAGTAAACTTAAACGGAACCTAGAAAGTTCCAGATCCGTGCACTGATTAGTTGGTTTTGAGAGAGGCTAGCAATGCGTGCTCAGTTAAATACACGTGTTTTTAGTGCATATTCTGACGAAAACTTGATCCATCCGAAAATAGATATTTCCGTTCGGTCTGTTAGTGACAACTGAACGGGCAATAGTAAATTGGTCACGTATGCTGTTATGCTCATATTATGAGTTCCCAATTAGTTTCCAGAGTCATTGAAGGATGTTAGGCATTGAGTAGGAGCAGGCGATAGATGAAGATGGCGGGTTCACAAATTAGGAGAGCGTTATTTCAGCCAAGGCAGCCAATACATCCGAATCACAGGGATTAAAATGTGACAAGACCTTTCAGTTACAGTACGTTTTAAGTGTGTAACTTCCACAGGGTCCGACAGAAACATGAAGACTCGAGCCTAGTAGGAGGAGTGGAAGAGCTTGGGACAACTCGAAAAACGGATCTTCCAATCCTAGGTCCGACTATCTGAAGTTCAACACATTAAGATCTTAAATGCGGTAAGAAAGTTGCAGCCGAAAATTAACAACCAATAGGTTGAGCAACGGACTTTCCGTGTAGTGAAATTTCGTCTTCACCACCGAACTACCTAGCTCATAGTTTCTGATAAGTGGTGTCAACCTCATGCTTGCATACGCCTGTCCAAAGGTCCACAGATTTTCGAAGTCTCAAACCAGCCATGCAAAACCTATTGGAGCAGTTGTGGCGCACAGCCGCTGCGTGCTTACGTAGGCCTGTAAAAAGTTTGTTGATCCACCAACTGGGGAGAATCCTTGAGTCCATTCACACTACAACTGGATGGGCTTTTACGGGCACGTTCGATTTCGAAGGAATGACATCTACAGAGAGCAGCCATACACAAAGTAAGCGTGAAAACACAGAAAGACGATTGTATTTCGATATCTACTCAGGAAACCGGTGTGAGTACGAGGCGGCACTTTGGGGATGGCACTGGAAAGTTCCAGGGGTAAAGGAAGGCTAATAGAGCAGACCAAGTCATCGGTTCAGACGTTTAAAAGTAGTTCCGGGGTAGATGTTACAAGAGTCGGCAAGTGCTGAATAAGGTATGTGTTGTTAGCCGGAAAACATCAAGGTTTCAAGGGAGAGCGCTGAATGGATGAGTGCTGTCCGAAGGCTGTGACTTTAACGAGAGGTTTGGTTACATCCACCGGTTAAACCATGTTTATGGTAGAAAGGGATAAAAAGAACAAACGACCGTAGTATGCGGGAATGTCTGGATAAGGGTGCCGCTCTTGGTTACAAGGAGTACACGATCAGAACGCCTAACGAATGCAATACCGACCAACTCCATATGCTTGCAGTAACGACAATCTAGCAAATGTACTGCTAAAAGTGTCACAAAACAAATGGTACAAACACTACCCTGTAAAGGCACACCGTAGCGTTGACTGTAAGCTGAAAAAACGCCTAAGCACTTTCCGGAGGACATTTTGTATGTAGAATAACTGTACGGAAATGTCACACCGTTTGCGAAACCACACGCCTGTCGCTCGATCACGAGTCTTTCCAGTCCCACAGGGGTCGCAACATGAAAGGAACAGAACGATTGACAAACCAAGGATCTTATGAACGTGGTGTGTTGTTGTCGGATTTACCCTTTGCAAACCGAAGCTAATGTTGCGATCTACTTCGGTGTTATGCACTAGCGTAAGACGAAAAGTGACAACTCGTTAAACAATTGTATATTGTGCAAACGCTGCTAGGGTACAGATCAATTTTTCTTTGTCAAAAGTACACCGTCCTTCTGGAGTTCTTCCTCTACAACAGCGAAAAGCTTCTCCCCATCGAGTTCTGGATGCTTGAGCCTAACCTCCTGGCATTTGGAAAGTAATCTGAAAGTTACAATCAGAGAAGCATAGTGAGATACCTGGACACATTGGAACGGTTATCGGCCACTTTGAAACAATTCAAATACCCAAGTTTTTGGTACCGTTTGAAGGCTTCACTAGTAATCCACAAGAGTTAAAGGACAACGTAAAACATACACACGGTCTACGTCCTCATGATACAATACTTGTCGGACTTCATTAGTGGGAACTGGCCGATTAAACGTAGGTTCTACACGCGGAGGAAATGCCTTGTATACATCGTACCACAGTGGTCGTTCTTCATACCGGATTGCACCGTTTTTCAATAAACCATCAACCCTGAAACGAACCAGTGAACAAACGACAGATAACTAACCTTCTAAAAATGGAGGCAAATTTTTCACGTTTGCTCCCTAGGGCCGACATAGGTTACATGCGACAAGGGCGCTGGAGAAAGTGGCCACCCACCTTAAAAAGTGGAGATGACAGATAATTAAATGGTCAGCGGAATCCACGAATGCCGCACTGAGATTTCCATTTCTTTACGGTTAATGGTGTCTTCTCAATCGAGATTATTTTGCTAACAGGACGTGCTACTAATAAGGTCGCAGCCCAAATTGCAAATAGCGTGTTCCTTCAAAATAATATACTGCGATATCTCGATTACCGTAACAAATGTGCAGCACATTTGGTTGAAGGGTAACACAAACGAGGGGTTATACTGGGATTCAGTTGAGCCCTTCATTGAAACCAAATTAGTTCGCAAATGGGCATAGTTCGCGAGATGGTTCTTTAATTCCGAGATGGCATTTCTTGTGCTTTAGCACCTGCCTCACCCAACACATTCTGCTGGACTTTTCCTGATTCCAAATACTCTGGGGCGGTGTTATGTTTGTCATGACGGACTCGCCATTTCTTTGAAGATTGCAGAATGCAAACCACCTGGACCAAGTGCTTTGTTGCGCTGAGACAACGGAGTTGCACACTGGACTCTCCTTTTGGAAGGCGGACTGATATTGATGTTTCACTCGGGTTTATTCTGGTCATTTCATAAGTTGAGTTGATACGAACCAATTGACCTGTTATTCAAAGTGTTCAGATCGTTGCACAAGAAGACATTCCTGCGAACAAACTGACAATGGGGATGGTTTCGCTTCAACCATCCTCCTCTAACTAGTTGATCTGAATATGGGCGGACTGTTCCAAAAGCTGTGGGAGTGTTTTTTTCACCTTTATTCAGTTGTCATCCAAGTCAGTTGTGCCAAAATATTGCGCTGGCCAGAAACAAACAACTGGAGTCACGCCCTATTACCTGCATAATGAGCGCCAACCGCGAATCGGCCGCGAAGATGGGCTTTCTCAGGACTTAGTCGATCGAACTAAGCATTCGTGCTACTCATCAAGATCACCAAGTTTGTACATCTCGTTAACCAAGGTAACAGTAGCACATCTCGATGGGAGTTGTCTATCTCGGCATCAGAAACACCACTTGTCAGAGGATGTGCTGAGAGAAGGAAAGAGTCGTTTCGAAGTCGAGGTGTTTGAGTTCGACTGAACGAGTCAACAGGGCAGTATAAGGATGACTGGTAGCTGAAATCAAGTCCAGTAAAGGGGACCAAAACCTGGTACCAAGTAAAACTCCACCAACAGGGAATTTAGATAACTAACTGAAGCAGTCGCGAAAGATCTCGATAAAATCCATATCACTGTTTAGGAATTTCAGTCTAGCGGGGGGCGTGCCGAAATCGCAAAACTACACTTCACAGTATTCACCTGCGTTGATCTCAAAGGGGCGAGATAACCCAGGTGGTTAGAGCATGAGATCACTGACCGGAAGGGGGTCGAACCCGGCCACCGCATTTAGACTTCCCATGTTTAGGCTTGGGCAACCTGGCAATGTCCCAGCCCTCATGCTTCCTACGGGTGGTATGGCAGGTGTACACTGAAGGGGTGCTACAGCTGAACGAGATGCCAGGGGTAGGTTTCGAACCACGGAACTTCTGGTCGGTCAGTTCGCGTTTTGAACACGTTTCCAGATCCCACAAAACTGACACCACGAGTAAGTTCACCGGGAACACAGGATATCCGAAGAGTGAAGTGAGACACCTGCACTCGTTCTAACGACCTTCAGGTGTACGAGGTATACGTCCCGGTGACAGATCGTGCAACGACAGCAAGGGGGAACAAGATACATTATATTGTTTTTTTTCTGAGTGATAGGCCAACCGAGGTGCCTCACTGAGGCAGTGCGCAAGCCGAACAATAGTATGCCAAAAGTCATCGTCATCATTTACAGCAAACCAGTGCTGAAAGCCACCGCACAAACTTCATTTATTTAAAAGCCTTATTGTGAAGGAAAGACTGACAATGGATGAGACAAAGTGATAGTCCAGAGCAGCATACGGTGTCTGTCAGTTTGACCGATTTATATGTAATTACTGTTGACGTACAACCTTGCTCACTGGGCTGCGGCCCATGAGCTTTGTCTGTTTTCCGTCCACGGGAATTTTCGTGAACACCTATCTTCGGAGAATCACTGTCCCCTGGTGCTTCCATGGCGTGCATACCACATCCACCACAATCAATACGACCTGCATTTAACTGTGAACACTAATTCAGACAATATGGGTAAGAAGCGGGAACAAGACCGCTTTTGACTCCGTGACTGCTGATTGCAATCAGTACCCATATCATGCAGTGTCCCTAATCATACACAGCTATGCAGCGGTAGTAAACAATATCTTTGTAACTGCATTCATTAGCCTAGTGTATATGAAAAGTTTGCGATTTTGTGAATGTGACCGGAGGAGGACGGCCGAAATAATAGATTATGCCAACCGGCGTATTTGTCGCCAACCGCATACGGACAGTGTGGGGGCACGTCTGACTCGGCAAAATATGGGCCAATCAGGAACAAGCATTTTTCATGTCTCTCGTTATTCACGGATTGATACACAGGATTGAGGCTATTGTCGGCCTTCAGTATTCGCACAATGGAACTGAATTTTCGAAAGCTATAACCTTTCCCTGATGGACCATTGCCATCGGGCAATGTCAGAATGTCAGTCTAATTTTTCAGCCCTTTTTAGGCGTAATGGGGTCTCAGCGATGCTGGAGAATCATTCCACCAGACTTATCCGACAAAGGTGGGGCTGCGTCGGTAGACAATGAAATTTGGTGAGCTGCAAAAATATGAAGGGAGAAAATGATGGTTTTTGGTTTTAGGACATACGCGACAAAACTCAACATTCTCGTGCAAGAGGGTTTGCTCAGCCCATAATGGTTTTGCAGCTAAAAATATTGTGCGGCTAATGGTCCCGTGAAAAACATGTTGTCTATAGTTTGTTCAAACAGGACATAAGTAAGTCATTCACTCAGTAAGCAAGTAAGTAGGTCCCCCCGGAGGCGACGATACTCTGGGGAAATGAGGTCAAACACCACGAGAAGCGTATCTTAGTCCACGGATTGAGGCCGGCAACCATTCTCGTAGCGGCTCACTAGGCACGCTCAAGAAGTGTGATAATTTTCGCGTGCCCTGTGTTGACAACTTGGTAGGCGCATTCAAGAGGCGTTCTGACGTAGGTCCCATAGAGTATTTGGAAGTCAATGCGACTAATACGGAAGTAGGCGTGCCGAATCCTCCGTAAAATTGCGAAGGTCTATTAGGCCGATTTCTCATGGTGCAGTGAGAAGGACAAGTTCAAGAAGAGCTAGATACCAAAATCCTTTTTCGCGTCTATCCTAATGATGTTTTCTGGTCCTTTCTCATCATGTATGGCAAAACTATTCACTGAGTCTCCTCGAGACAATATATAGACGCACTTTTCGTCATTCATAGGAAGGCACCAGTCCAACGACCGCTGCTTTGCAGCGTCTGCATTTATTTGGAGGGCACTGGTATTGAAACCCCAGGATTTCAAGTATTTCGCAAAAAGTTGACATGGACTTGCACCGCTATGCACCACCTACGGATTAGAACTGATAGCAGTGCTTCGGGGACTGCTGACTATTTATCGTGCACACACATTCTCTCCTGGTATTACGCAAATCATGAAACAAACGCCCGATTAACCAGTTATCCTAGAAGTCCACTCCCGCCAGCCCTTATACATCTGATTCCCATACCACGCTCCTGCGCGCTTATAGAGGCTTTTACTAGATCCCTTGTAATATAATATCGTATGCTAGCAAACTCAACCCCTGGTCGCTAGCCTTTTAAGTACAAATCTAGCTATTTCCTACTCCATATAATCACTTGTCATCACCCTAATTGCGGCAGACGTCAAGTTTTTCTTTCTGTGTATATTGATGCATATTATCCCATTTTATATCCCCTCAAACTCACTACGTTTTTCAAATCTCCCCCCATCCCCTCATCTTCCCAAGCATTGAACTTCGGAAGTGCCCGTTTTGGACGACCTGGTTGG